CATGGAATATATCTTATTCTAATTAGGATCCCAGTCATTAACTGCCTGTGCACTAGGTAGTGTGCTTATATGACTGAAAGAGAAAACTGTTACTTGCCCCATTAATTAGTATGGAAATTTGGGCTAAGAGAAGTATAATGACTTATACAGAGGAATGAAGACAGGACTTTGAACTAGGCTCCATCACCTCAGAGACAAGGTCTCTCTCTAGTGCATCCTGCACCCATCCCTCTGTGCATCAGCTTTGTGCTTGATGTCAAGCACAGGAGGATTATAGAGTTAAAAATCCTGATTTCAAAACAATTTTATGGGAATATAATAGTCATTTTTATTAAAACTTTAGGAAGGTATTAAAATATATTCTTGTGAACAAGATTGGGTAGTGTCCACTTAATAAGAAAATAGTTAAAACAGCAAAGATATCTCTCAATTTATTTGTGTCTGTTTTAATTCTTTGGTCAGTGTTTCATACTTTGGTCAGTGTTTCAGGGTACAGATCTTTCACCACCCCTCTGGTTAAATTTATTCTTGGGTATTTTATCCTTTTTGATGTTATCATAAATGGAGCTGTTTCTTGATTTCTGTTTTGTAGTTTTTGTTGTAAAGAAACACAATTGATTTTTGCAGGTTGATTTCGTGTGTTGCACTTTTATGGGATTTATTGATTAGTTCTAATGTTGTTTTTTCTTATAAAGTCTTTAGGGTTTTCTAAGGAAGGACAATGTCATCTTCAAATAAGGATATTTTTGGTTTCTTATTTGAATAGAATTCAAATTGATGTTGTTAAAATATCTATCGTATCCAAAGTGACAAGTAAATTCAACACAATCCCTATCAAAATCCCAAGGACATTTTCCACAGATAGAGGAAACACAATTCTAAAGTTCATGTGGAACAACAAATAACCTAAAATTATTAAAGCACTCTTGAGAAATAAAAACAGAGTTGGGAGCATCACAGTGTCTGATTTTGAATTTTATTAAAAGCTATCAGAATCTGACAGTGTGGTATATACATAAAAACAGACATGTAGACCAAAGGAACAGAAAAGAGAGCCCTGGAATTA